AAACACAACGTTTCGACCTTGACTGGTCTTCATCAGGTGTATATAAAAAAAAGGTAGAGCACAGATTTTGGACTTGTGATGTGCACTCTCTGAAGAGCTGTTCAGAATGAACCAGAGGTGAGGGTGGAGCAGCCTCTTATCCTCTGTTCCTCTTCCCTGATTGGTTGAGGGTGATTGGGTTGGTCTCCACCTGTGTGGGGAGACCCACCTGTAGGCCGTTAGTAAAACAGCTGGATATGGAGGACAGGAAGGGAAGGGTTAGGGTTAGGGTTAGGGTTAGGGTTAGGGTTAGAATAGGGGGGTAAAAACCACTTAATGTACCCCCCACCATCAAAGTTTGAGGGCTCATATCTCAGAAACGGAACGTCGTAGAGCATTGAAACCAAGATGTACCCCCCCGTACTATGAGGTTGGCTTTCAAATGGTGCCAGCCATTCTACTGTGGGACTTTCCATTCTCGCGATATCTGCCAAAAAAACTGTGTTTTTTGTATATCTCCGGAACCTAAAGTCGTAGAGTCTCGGGACCAAGACTGGCGTGTTCAGAAGACCCAAATTATGTCTGACGGATCAAGGTTTCAAGTCTCTAGGACCTTTGGTTCGGGAGTTATAAACGTTTTAAGTTCCGCATTGAAATGAATGGGACAGCGAGAAAGGCGAAAATTGACTAAGTGTTGGGGGAAAAAAAAAGTAGTCAGAATCATGAAATGAGCACGTTTCAGGTCATTTGAAGTCCACTGAAGACAACATTTTGAGACATATTTTCTAAAATGTCAAAGGTACAGGATATTGGAGCAAAGGTACAGGGTACAGGATACATGATCAAAGGTACAGGATACAGGAGCAAAGGTACAGGATACATGATCAAAGGTACAGGATACTGGAGCAAAGGTTTAAAGGGTTAGGGTTGCAAGATATAATTGTGTACAATAAAAAAGTGGCAATAGGGTTAGGGTTAGGGTTAGGGTTAGGGTTAGGGTTAGGGTTAAGGCGGGCCGCTGCCCCACAGACGAACTGTCACTGACCAACTGTGCTGTGGTCAGTGAGAAGGATCTGCAGTCTGGACAGTGAGTGAATCAGTGTCAGAGCTCATCAATAAACACTCTACTACACACACGCACGCACACACACACACACACACACACACACACACACACACACACACACACACACACACACACACACACACACACACACACACACACACACACACACACACACACACACACACACACACACACACACACACACACACACACACATACACGTTTTTGTTACCTGGTGGGTCCCTTTGACAGGGCCGTTCAGAATGGGACCCATAGACATAATCTTTTTTTACCAAGACTTTAAGTAATACAAAACAGTCAATAGAAACCAAACAACTATTTTAAAGGAATTTTATTTTAGATTTTGTTTTCGAATTGCAGTGATTCTATTTTTGACATAGAATTTAATGCCACTCCATGTCCGATGTCTAAGGTCATCTGGTGAGGCATTAATGCAGGCCAGGCAGTGAGACTTCCCAGGGACCTTTCCAGTCTGTATGAAAGGTGTCATGGTCTTCTCCACAGCCTTCACCTCAGATGCAGACCATGGCTTTCTTACACGTTCTAGGGAGAGAAATAAAAATATATTAGCAATATACACTCCCAGGGTGAGGACCAAGCAGCCTGGCTGTAATCCCCCACCTGGTACACTTACCAGAAGGGGCACTGCCACTACCATGGGGTGCATCTGGATGAATGGTTGAAGGTTCTCCGCTTGAAGTTTCTTTTAGCCCGTCCGTTTGTGAGAGGATCTCTACTGCTCTCCCTGTCGCACAGAAAATAAAAATACAAGTGGCCTTTAGGGGAAAAAAATCATACATATTTTAATAATATCAAGAATTACCTTCAGGCTCAATTTGTATCTGGTCGAGGCTCTTTCCTTCGAATTCCGTCACTCTTCCCTGCTCCATGGCCATCAACACTTTGCTGATTTTGGCCAGCTCCAGTGTCCCCTCTGGTAGTCTGTAATATTGCCTGTGGATGCGAATGTCATGGCCGAGGAAGTTGGCAAGTATGTCCATCTCATTCTCTTTCATATTGAGAACTGTAGACATAGTAGCTATGTGCTTTCTAAGTTTGGTTGAGGATAGCATCTCTGGATGCACCGCACCACATTCTTTGGCTACCTGGCGTAGGGAGTCTGATCCCCTGATGTGGGTGTCTGCGCCCGGGCGGGAAAAGAAGTATGGGTTATGGTCAGAGATGGAACAGGCCCTTCTGTTCTCCACCAGCACCTCCATCGAAGCAATCATTTCAGGAGTCAAAAGAACCGGCACTTTCCGACTTCTTTTCCCTTTAATTTCAATGCGTTGAAAATGCTGACACAGCTTTTTCTCAAGTTGGGACAGTCCCAGAGCAATGTCAGAATGGATCCCAGTCTTACTTCTTAAGGTAAAGGCTGTCAGTGGCATCTTTGAAACCTCACCTTCCCTTCTTCGATTGAAAATGATGACCTCACAAAGAGTCAAAACTGCCAGTTTAGACCAATGCTTAGACGTTGGCTCACTTATTAGGGTTTGCACATATTCAGGTCGACATACCTCAATATGTGCATGCATGGCTCTAACGTCCTCAGTCAGAGGGAGCAGGTCCGGAGTGTTCCACTTGGCTTGCCGGAGGTCTGTAGGGCAGCAGAAGAAACACAGACGTCCCACCTCTTCTCAAAAAGCAGCCGGCTTCGTTGGAGGTTTTTAATAAATAGTTCATCAACACAATGCTCCATTTTTGAGTCACATTCAAGAATATCTGCTAGCTTTCTGAGGCTATGGCCGAGTTTGAGGGCCAAGGATGGAGTCTTGTATTGATTTGTTTCCTCATCATATCCAGCCACAGACCTGACTGCATCAATCACATGGTTAAAGTTGGAAGGAATAAAGAAATCCTTAATTGTTTTCAGTTTCCCTGCGGTTTTTGCTTCGTTAATTAACCTACCGACTTCTCTCATTTTCTGCCTAATGTAATCATGCTTTGTCTTATCATGCCCGTGTTTTAAGTACAGGTGCTCTCCGAGTCTCAGAATCCCCTTTTCTGCTTTGACAACACCCGTGACCTCATCCTGATGCATTGCCGAAATTAAAGACCACAGCTTTTTGCTGATGCCCTCCGGTACAGGCTGGGCTAGGGAGCAGAGGGACTGGACCCTACTTCTACCTGGTTTAGCCTGGTTTAGCCTGGGCATCTTTCTGTGAAAGCCGGCACCTGGCCACATGCCTCCACAGCGACTTTCGCTTAAGCAATGCCCCACAGTCTATACAGTGCAAAAACTCACTGGATTTAACTGGGGAATTTGGCTGTTTAGCTGGGACTAAAGTTCCAATGCCGGCCTTTAAAACCTCAAAATTGTGCTCACGGTTTCCACTATTCCTGATCAAATCAAACTGAAGTTTACGTGCTTTAGATTTCACAGGTAGAGCCAATGCTCTGGCTACGTCACTTTCATTTCCATGTTTTCTAGTCAAATGACGGGACATTTTGTGGCAGGACATTGAACAGTAGAGGCAGAAGTGTCTCTTGCTGTAAACTCGCCCCCCATTTTTCTTCTTTTGCAGCTGCATGATAACAATCTTATTTGCCTTTGGTTCGTCACTTTCCGAGTCTTGAAGAAAAGTGTTTTTGATTTTTCTTTTTCCATACTTTTTTACAGGTTTCTTCTTGACAGTTAAATCGTCAGAATCTGAGTCGACTTCATCAATTAGGGACTCTTGACTAAGCTGCACAAACAACAAATAATTTGTAATCATTCTATATAACAATTTGAAGTCATGACTTGTAGTCAGCACTTACCAGTGGTTTGTAAGCGTGCGCTTCAGTGTGCTCCTCCATGATTTCTTGCAGCCTAATGAACCACACACTTGCACCTTTTTCTAGCCTGACACCTGATTTCCTCTGTTGTGCTGCTCCATGATTGGCTCCAGCCTGCTGGACTGAAATTGCCCCAGTGTGCCCCTCCTTGATATCCCGCAACCCACCACCAGGGTTCCGACACATAACACACTTTTTTCAGGAAAGTAAACCTCCAGGGGTCCTTTCCATATTTTTACAGAGACTGCATAAGGACCGTTAGAAAAGCATTACCCATTGATTATTAAGCTTGGACCAGTGGGGTCCGGTGTTCGGGCCCCACCACGTAAAACCAGTCCCCATGACGTGAGTGGAACCTCAGGTTATGGAACCCACCAGGAGTTGAAAACAAGTGCACACACACAGATATAGTCTATACACACACACACACACACATATAGTCTATACACACACACACACACACACACATATAGTCTATACACACACACACACACACACACATATAGTCTATACACACACACACACACACACATATAGTCTATACACACACACACACACACATATAGTCTATACACACACACACACACACACACGCACACACACACACTCACATAAAGTCTATACACACATAACATTTAGTTTTGGCAATATATATACACGCTTCTACTGGTTTCCTACTACATCTGATAGAGTCTTATGATTTAGAGCATTGTGTAGGTTTCCTCTGGGTGCTCCGGTTTCCGCTACCACTACCTTTCGGCTGTACAATGCGCTATATAAATAAACATAACTTACTTACTTTTGTCTTTTATGTGTCATACATTTACGAGGAGGTGTGAATATCCTGTTCCAATGTTTGCATCAATTATCAACCAAATGTTGATTTATTTTTCAGGCTTACACCTAAATGAAACCTCTATGTTCACAGTTTGCACAGCGGCGTGCTAATCCACACACACCTCCTGTAATAAATATAATAAACCATTTGTCACCGAGCCCGGAGATAGAAGGGGTTGAAATGAGGTCATCCAATAGCACGCATTGGCCCTGCCGTCTTTCCACTCTAATAAACTGAGCATGAGTGGATTAGGCCTGGATCAGTGAGTCTGTCCGGCCATTTTTCTGTGTCAGCCACGGTCCACACTCTCCAGTAATGCAGACGGCAGGAGTGAGCCTCGGGGCATTCAGGGGAAGACACCAGCCACAGAGCAAGCGGAACCACGTGGGCCGGTCTAAGTCAGGACCACAGAGATGTGTAAATGTTATCAATGAGGCTTTTGGATCCTCAAAAATACACCCATTCAAATGGATACTAACTCTAGCCATGCATTTGAATGTGGTTTTTCTCATAGACTGTATATAGACAGACAATGCTAACCGGCTAGCTCAGTGAAGCCAAACAAACATCTTGCTCCAACTTCTATTGATTCACATTAAAAAGTAAACTCCTTTAGCTCAGTTTGTGTCACAATCACCATTTTGTCCTTAGAAATGTATGGCTTAGTGCTCTCTGCAATCTCTGTGTCTTCAGTTAAAGATCTTTTGGTTAATCCTTATGGTTCATATCTGGATCAGATGCCTTAATTTTCCAGGGTCAACTCCAGTTTGTCTTAGCAACCGTGGTAGCAACCTGTTCGTTAGAATCTGTCCCTGTAGGTCACCCCGTTGTAACAAATGCCCATATAAGGAATTTGGCTTCAACTTCAATCTGTGACATCAGCACTCGGTCAGTCCACTCCTCTACTGTCCCCCAAGGCGGGCTTGACTTAACTTAATATTGTAAACACATTTAGATACTACTACCCATCACTCACTCACGGTCGTGTCTCGAGTTAGTATCTGTGTCTGTCTGTACAGCCTGGTTATAAGGCGGCCTACTCATGTGTTTGTCTCTTTTTTTGTTTCTTCTTTTATGAAGGAACAGATGACATACATCTGTTCACATTCACATGAATCTTTTACTAATTTTCCTACTACCCTATATTTCATCACAATAAATAAACAAACATATACTGTAGATGGCGGACACTGAATGACTATTGTTCTTGTTGTGTTCTTGTTGTGGGTTTCAGGTCGTGAGCACCAGTCGTCTCGTGGGGGCAGATCACCCACTGGAGGTTGTGTATTTTGTGGAGGATCCTGAAGGAGAGAGAATCCCTGCAGTGGAAATAGCGGGCCTCCTTAACAGCCTGGACGTCCAGAGAGCGGCCATTGTTCTCGGGTACCGTGTTCAGGGCATTTTGGCACAGCGTAAGTACTCTGTGGTGTGGCTGCTGTATTCAAATACTACTAGGACATTTTACGCCTGCCTTTGCGGACACGTTACCTGTTTTAACCAATATTAGAGCTTATTTATTGCTTGTAGACCGTCCCATAAGAATGCCTTCCTCATAAACTATCTAGACAAAATATGTCGGCCTATTAGGCTAATGAGTGTGCCCTTAAGGGAGCTGTATCTCTGCTCTGCTCTCTTTCAAAAACCTCCCCAGGGAAAGAATCAGAGATAATTAAAACTATTGAAAGTCTGCTCTACACTTTTCTCTAGTGATAAAGTCTTTTTGTTAGTTCTTTTGATGCTTGTCCTTAAAAGTGTCATAACTTATAATAAATCCATGTCATTTCATTGCAGCTGTGGAGAAAATGGCTTTGTCTCCGTCTGAAAATGTGAACACAAACTTATGGATAATTGCCGGTGTGGTGATACCGCTGCTCGTGGTCGTCATTATCATTTCCATCCTTTACTGGAAACTGTGCCGCACAGACAAGCTGGAGTTTCAGCCAGACGCTATGGCCTCCATGCAGCAGAGGCAGAAGGTGAGACCCCATGGTGGGACTTTAGAGTGTGTTGTTTCTGGTTTCATTCAATGTATTTTAAATCACAACTGTCGTTATCTCAGAGGACACAAACACAGATCAGAGAATCAAATAGTTCAAATGTAGGAAATTCAGCGACAAATGAAGGATTATCTTATTTTATTTCAAGAAAAACACATAGAGCCATTGGTCCATAAGAGGCAGGTAACCAATGCCCATTAATGTCCTGGATCATCACCACTGGTCTTAAACTCTCGTCTTGTTGTTCAAAGTTAACATATTCAGTTCTGTTTAATGTTTTTTTGTTTAGCCCTAAATCACAACAGCAGTCGTCTCAGAGAAACTTTACAGACTTGGAAATTCACCCACAGTTTGAACACAGAAAAGGCAATACTTACAAACACATAGGAGCCATTGGTCCATAAGGACAGCAGGATAACCAATAATAAACATACACAAATATGAACTGTATATAACATAAAAGTATAACAAACACACAGGTAGTACCAGAGCTTTCCATGGGTGCAGTCTTCATGATAAGGTTAATAACTGTAGAATATAAGCATAGACATAACAGCTTCACACAGACTCACCCCAGAGAAGACGCTTTTAAACACTCTGAGAAGGGAGTGGAAAGCGTTCACATTGTGCTAATTACGGTGAATATATCAATGCCACAGACGCGCTAAAGTTAGATCTCATTAGTTCCTTTTTCTAAGATGGAAGTAATGCATCTTTAAGTGAATTGAAAATCAGAAACAGTTCTTAAATAAGCAGTAAGCACACACATCATATCTCAGAACCAAATCCAAAACATTTAGCCAATATTTGTATTATTCTTAGCTGCCACTGTCTTTATTTGCATGTTCCACTAGAAGCAGAGGTGGCAAAAGTTCTGCTCCTAAATACTAGAGTAAAAGTATACAGTAGATACTTACAGGTAAACAGGTTTGAAGCCACACCCACACATGAGTCAAAACAAATACATGCTTGTTCTGTGCTTGATAAAAAGTAAAAGGCCATTTTGTTTAATATCAGATATTACTTAGAAGCATGGCTAACCACTTGACCAGGTGCCAGACTGAGGTGCTGTGGCTTTACTGAAAACTGTCCTTGTGTCCTTAGGCAAGACACTTCAGGGTTGGGGGTCATGAAAAGTGGTAAATAAATCATCATAACTTTGACAAACTTGAGCTTTCTTGTTTATATTTTGGTTAATACCATAGATTGTAAATAGATGGACATGGCTAACGCTCTAGCTCAAGCCCAATTGGGAAGTGCCCATGGACAGAGTTTTGCTCTAACCCACTCTGGCCCCTATTGACTTGCATTGGGAAGAAACACAGTAGCCTTTAATGTCACACTCACCATGTTGGGCTTTAAACATCCATCTCTGTCATTGTGGCGCTAATAATGTGATATTGTCGTATAATATGAGCCCTAACAACCGACCAATCAGGAGCCTTCTGTCGCTGAATTCTGCTTTAGCTAGCGAGTTGCACGAGGGGCTCTTGATTGGCACTTGGATCAGTACCCAGGCCACTCCTAATGGACAGTCTGTGGTTTTTATACCGAGTCGTTTTTTGGAACAATATTCGTGCGTGATCACTGTATTCACTTGACTGACGCAGGAATCGCAAAAACTCATCTGAAAAAACTGTCAAGTAAAGTACAAATACCAAACTACCTCTCATTACAAGTGTATAAAATATGTCTAAACTAGGTCTGATTGCTTTAATAATAATAATATAATAATACATCTTTATTCTGGTCAAAGTCGCCACAAGACACCGACAAATGAAGAAAAAGAAAAATAGTAAAGAAAAAAATAGTTACATTTATTTTTTCAAGGACAATGTGCAGTTACATTAGATAAATGGCTGCACCCGGTGTAGCACCAAATAATAATATGCTAAATCTAAGATGCTAAATATATGATGCTAATTATTCAGCTTCACATTTTTACCATTTTTACCGTTAACATTTGTATATATTATAATTGTGTGACAGTTTCTGTGTGAACTTTACAACTAAACATCAATGTCTGGCCCTTGTTATTGGTCTTCAATCTTGATTCTGGTTCTGGCCTTTATCATTTAACAGCCGCAGCAGCGTTCTGGTCAAGTTGGTATCAATTTAAATGTTTCTCATTCATTATGTGCATTTTGGCTCAATCTCTCCATCCAAACGCCTTCGTTTATCCTCCTCATGTTCTCCTTTGCCCACACTTGTCTTTGCCTTAACCTGATGCAGTGAATTGAATCAGCAGAGCTCTTTCTTACCTTCAGTCCATCAGTGAATCAAGGACCTCTCTGCTCCACCACTCACAGCCCTCGGACTCAGAGCCAGAGCAGAGTAGTGAGGAAGAGGAGGAAGAGTCTGAGGAGGAAGAGTCTGAAGAGGAGGAGGAGGAGGAGGAGAGGAGTGCTAAAGGGGGGAAGGTATAGGATGTAGTTTTAGATTTGAGTATCCCCTAGTGGTAGATGTAGAAATGGAGATTGTGATGTCTGTCGTTTATACCAAACCTTTTTGCATAGTTTTATCATCGAGGTTTCTAAAGATTCCTGCTCTTTCATTGGCCACGGCAGTATATCAGGGGTCTCCAATGCTTTCCCCCAGAGAGCTACTTTCTCGAGACAAAACTCAGGAGCTAAATACTACTGGCCCTGGAAGTGTCTGATTCCAAGAAAGAAAAAAGATTTTCCGCATAATTATGTGAGATGATATTTCCCATGGATGTGATCCCACTCTGGTGTGTTTCTAGTTTGAGTCCAGTTGTGTCTATTCGCTTCTGTTAGAGTCCTTCGCTGCAAAAAGTCATGAAATATGAGGTAATGTTAATTCTCCAATGGGACAAAAGCATTTAGTCTTATTTCAACAACTGTTGCTTTATTTTCTTTTTAAAACAAGATCATTTTTCTTGTCCCATTGGCAGTCGAAATATACTCAAATGAAGATACATTTTGAGCATTTTTTAACTTATGTATCATCCTTTTTTGCAGTGTTGTGTTAATAGTTTGGTGCCACCTTTGATGTGACGTGTGCGTGAGTCTGACAAGTGTGATTGTGCAAAACAATTGAACCCAGCGCTGCAAAAATAGCTTTAACCTAATTTACAAAGTAAGCTAACAGAGATGGGATCCACTGAAACGGCTTCCCGTCTGTGCTGATGCCGTGTGACAATGCTTTTACATAGAAGCCTGTGACTCCTCCTGAGAGCACACTGCAAAGACTCAGGGATGAGGAAGAGGAGGATTACGAAGAGGAGGAAGAAGATGAAGAAGAGGAGGACGAAGACACAGCTGGAGATTCCCAGAAGCTACCGCAAACAAACGAGCGAGCTAAACCAAAGAAAGCAGATCAGTCAGACGCTAGACCAGCTAAAGTTTGGTCTCGAGGCAGACGGGCTCTGGAGGAGGTATTTTGTGCTGTCGTCATAGAAACCAGTGTGTGTTTGCAGTAGTGTGTGTGTAATCCTGCTGCCCAGAAACAGGATTACAGCTGTTGACGAATAGACTCGGTGTGTATTTATGTCTGGCTTCGCTTTAGTGTGTACTTCATCTGTGGTTATTGCCCCTGATCCACTTCCAAATATAAATGTGCTGTTATTTGTAGACTTAAAGTGTGGGTATTATAACTGTCACGTGGTGAAATGAGAAAAAAAAAGGAACCCAAAATGCAGGACTGAAAATAAGTCGTAATCCAGGGTAAGTGCTAGAGAGAACGAGCACCCTTCTACAGCACCCTTCTACAGCACCCTTTTACAGCACCCTTTTACAGCACCCTTTTACAGCACCCTTTTACAGCACCCTTTTACAGCACCCTTTTACAGCACCCTTCTACAGCACCCTTTTACAGCACCCTTTTACAGCACCCTTCTACAGCACCCTTTTACAGCACCCTTTTACAGCACCCTTTTACAGCACCCTTTTACAGCACCCTTCTACAGCACCCTTTTACAGCACCCTTTTACAGCACCCTTTTACAGCACCCTTTTACAGCACCCTTTTACAGCACCCTTTT